AAACACAAAAAAGAGAGAGACAAACTTGGCTTCATAACAACCCACTCTTACTGGAACTAATCCAACTCAATGAGAGCAAGAACACCCTCCCCTGGGACTGCATTCATCCCTTAATGGGGTTGGATTATTACCGCGGCTTATGACTCAAACTCCTCTTAAAGGTACTACCTCCCAGCATCACTGTATTTGGGGAACAAGCCTCAACATGAGTTTTGAAGATGACCACATTCAAACCATAGCATGAGCTATACTGTATTAGGGCCCATCCCAGTGACCTCATTTGATCTGAATTACGTCTTTAAAAACTGCAAATACAGTCACATTCTGAGGTACTGAGAGTTGGAACTTCAACATATGAACTTGGGGAGACACAGTTCCATCCATAACCATTACCTACAACGGTGGCCTACAGAGGGGGGTGTCTTTTCTGAGATGAAGCCCCCAGCTATCCCTGTGGACCCTATTGCAGGTTTTTAACAGTCCTCCCAGCCTGAGACAGTTGGTTGCTCCCTCCCATACAGCTAGGCTTCCGGGATTTTGCAAGGCCCTGACAGGACTCAAAGCCATGTCAGCCTAATAATGAGGGCTTCTGTCTGCTGTGCTTGCCAAAATTGTTATGGCAACCAGATCTGAAGGACTGCAATGCTCAGATCGGGCTGTGCCAGCTCCGGCTCTGGCTCACTTACCTCATCATGAGCTTGAGGCACTCAGAGGGAGCCCATCTCCCTGGCATGAGCTGGTCTGAAATGCTTGGGGTCATGGTATTTTGAGAATGCCATTGTAGAGTGCTGGGTTCCTTACGGCAGTGCGCCCAGGCCTCAAAGTGATGGTGAATGGTTTCTGGGACGAAGAAGGGTTGGTAAAATCCTTTGTAGCCAGGTACTAGTGGAAATAGACACAGAGTAGGGGCTAGTATGCACCCTTTCCACATTGCTGGAAGTAACCGTTCTGAGCAGGTGAGCTGGTATTTGGATAAATGCTTTCACAGTCTTAGAGAAGTCAGACCCTTGGATTGATTTGCTCTTGAACAAAAATTTTTTTTTCACTATGAAAATGTTTTCTTTGGGGTGTCTTTAGAACATGTGATGTCAAGACACAAAGAACAGCAAGTGCACATACAGTAAGACATGGCTGTCATAGAACAGATTGTGTGTGAATAAAGGGTTCACATCACTTCCACCCTTTACACAGTAACAGAAGGCTTTAGGCCACCTACCTCTTCCTTGGCTCACTCAAACTCTTCTTCCTCCTCATCCGTGGCCTCCTGCTACTGCTGGTATTCAGACACCAGGTCGTTCATGTTGCTCTCAGCCTCAGTGAATTCCATCTCGTCCATGCCCTTGCCCGTGTACCAGTACAGGAAAGCTTTGCACCGAAACACACCTGTGAACTGCTCTGAGATGGACTTGATCAGATCCTAAATAGCAGTGTTGTTGCCAGTGAAGGTGGCAGACATCTTTAGCCCCCAGGGTGGGAAGTCCATACAGCTGTTTTTATATCTTGGGGGATCCAACCAACAAAGTAGCTGCTGTCATGTTTTGGGCATTAAGCATTTGCCTGTCCACCTCCTTCATGGACATGTGACCCCTGAACATGGCAGCCGCCATTAGGTAGCAGCCATGGCAGAGGTTGCAGGCAGCCATCATGTTCTTGGCATCAAACATCTGCCAGGTGGGCTTATGCACCATCAGGGCCTGGTACTGCCGGTTGTCCTGGCTGGTCAGCAGGGCGAAACCAAACATGAAGTGCAAGTGGGGGAATAGGACCATGTTCACGGCCAGCTTCTGCAAGTCAGCATTGAGTTGGCCAGGGAAGTGCAGACAGATGGTGACCCCACTCATGGTTGCAGACACCAGGTGGTTCAAGTCACTGTAGGTAGGTGTGGGCAGCTTTAGGGTTCTGAAGCAGATGTCATAGAGAGCTTTATTATCAATGCAGAAAGTCTAGTTTTGAGAAGTTTGGTTTGATGGTCAGTCAGTGGAAAAGTGTGGCATGAGCCACTAGCTTTTAAAATCTTTCAAGGACCTTGATTGACTCCATATTTCAGAACTCTATCTTGTGTAATAAAGAAGTCCTGCTGGGCAGAAATTCCATCTCAGGTCTTGAACACATTTCTTACACAGTCTAGAATTAACTGAACTGGGGACTGACGCTTCCGGCCCAGGAGGCCTGGCAGGGTCTTGTCATTGTTTCCTGAGCGTGGATGAAGTCATTGAGAGTTTTCCTCCCCTCTGAGACGATTCACTCAGATACCTGGAGTCACTGTTTCTGTGCTTGTTCTGTGACCTTCGTCATGAACTTGACCTCTCTGAGCATGATGCCTCATAACATGGAGACCAAAAAAACTTTTCTAATAAGGTGTAATGTTATGAAGGACTCCAGGGGATATTGGGAGAGGGCAGATCGTAGTGGTTAAGCTTGAAAGACCTGGATTTCTATCCCAGCTTTGCTCCTTATGATTTGCTCTTGGATGTTTTTAGTTTTTATGCTTCTCTTTCTTCATTTGTAAAATGGGTAGCATTCTGTAGGGCCCATCTTATGGTCGTGATGATGAAATAAGGTAAGACCACTGAAGCACTTAGCACAGTGCCTATAACATGTAAGTCCACAGACACAGTCACTTTATTACTAAGGCAGTATTGAGTTGACACAAACTTAGAGACTCAAGGGAATGTGGATAGCATTGGGCCATCAGTGCTTGGGTACTTCATCCCAGTTGTACTTTGCTGTGGAGCCAGCAGGTGGCGACATTGGCCACATCTTGGCCCTGCTGGCCTCCATCTTAGAGGTCCAGTTTCCTGGGATGGCGTGACTCAGTTGCTACGCTTGTCCCTGTATCCGTCGCACAATGTAGGTTTCCATAAACAACTGGACCTAGTTAAGTGAATGGATGGGCTTGCCAGCAGATCATTCCAGAGCAGTAGCCACTCTTGCTTTCATGTCCAGGGCTACTACACGTTCCTTGCTGAGGGCTGAGTTGCCAGCTACCTAGTGCAGAGTCATTATGCAGTCAGGTGGTGCAGACTGAAGCTTGGGGCTGCTGAGAGTGAGCTCAGGGGCTCTGAATTTCAGCAGGACACCTGGTTAGCATTTCTCAACAACTGCTACAATGCTGGGCAAGTTCACGTAAACTCAGAGGGTGGCTCCAAACAAAGCCCAACTTGATTTGTGTATTTGATCCCGAGCATCCAGTGTTGAATCCAGAATCTGAGATGCCATGGCTCAGGGAACACCCAGAGACAGCCAGGTCAAGGTAGTGATAAAATCTAGTAACTGAATCCCAGGGAGTTGGCTGAGAGTAATTTCAGAGTCAGCAGTTCGTATCTGTGTCCCAGGTGAGGATGGGAGCTGGATGGTTTCTTAGCTTCCTCATGACCTGTAGTGCTTCAGAGGTCCATGGAATGAAGGATAAGTTGGAGAAGCCAGGCTAAGGAAGGGTTGGGATTTCCTAAAACAGCATGAATTTTTGTTATTTTCTATTGAAGTGCCATTATTTAAATTTATTGACTTAAGTGAACACTTCTGTTGATTTGAAAGCTATAATACTGGTTACCCTTTAACAATAATGTTAAGTTCATTGACATAAAGTACGTTAACCTGTTGTGGTTTTAATAATATACCTCCACAAGATGGCGCCAACATCAAAACCTGGCTTTGCCACTTAAGGAAATTGTGGTGGACAGTCACAAATTATGTAACCATGTCATGGGAAACAGGCAGAGTTCTTCAGTAAAAACTTCACTAAATTGTCCTTATTTTCTTGTTTGTTTTTTGTTGTTGTTGCTTTTGTTTTTTTGTTTTTTGTTTTTTTCAGGAAACTGAGGCAGAAAGGTAACCATTTTTTTACGTGTTGATAGGACTCAACTTGTGTAACCTGACCTGAAAATTATTTAATTCAGATGTTCACTGAATTCTTAACTCTGGAATTTTTTCTTGAGGCCTAATTTATTTAGTTACCCAAGTGACAATAGATTTAAAGCTTTTCATTGAAAAACAACAATGCCCAGGTCACTTCGCATTAATTAGGTTTCTATAAAGTTAGCCTGGCACTATTTACTTTGTCCTTTAGGAAGTACCAGCCCAAGGAAATTTCCCTAATGATTTGTTACTTAATTTTTAGTTTTAACAGTTTAGTTAATATTTATTTATTTTTATAATTGTTCTTGTTTCTGTTTCTTAATCATCAAATTAGATCAACTCTCAGGTTTCTTTAACTCAGACAAGGACTTTCAAGATAATCTCTGAAAAATGCAATACAATTCATGAACTTAGAAAAAACTTATAACTACCTTTTGAATTACTTATTTATGTTTACATAAATGTATTTACTGAGTAGTATACATGAGTGTCCTATATGTATATCTATAATATGTAAATATGAATTTGCATACATATATGAATGATTGTTTTCATAAATGTATATGCGGGTAACTTTTCATGCTATTTCAGTCTCCTCTGTCTGCATTCTCTCCTAGCTCTGTGATTCTAATGGCGTGGGAAAGATAATCTCTCATTTCTTTATCAAATAGAACAGTGAGGAGAAATCACTACCAAATGGAATACCTAATATTTTATATCGCAGCAGTCTTCTGGACATTCTTTACTTTGTAGTCCATTTGACAGAGAAACAAAATTGATTAGAAGGTACTTTCCACTACCATATTTGCCTACTTTTAGGTTTGACTTTCTAACTTGAGTTGGTTAAAGTACCTGTCTGTGCTGACTTGTAATTTAGACAGTCAGAAGTAAATGTGATGTAGTCCAAAAAGGTGCCCTACATTTTGGTTATTTCTAGAATATAGAAGGCCTTCAAATATTTGTTGGTTTTTATAGAAGGCTTTGAAATATTTGTGGATTGTTGTTCAGTAATTTTCAGATTTCAAAAAAATAGGGCTTGGTGGGAATGGAGAAGAGCATATGAATAAATGAATTTGCTTAGAATTTTATTTCTAATAAAAATTACCAAATACAATAATCTTCTCTGTCTTTTTCTCTCTTAGATTGGAATAATTGGTGGAACAGGCCTGGATGATCCAGAAATTTTAGAAGGAAGAACTGAAAAATATGTGGATACTCCATTTGGCAAGGTTAATATGTCCAATTAGTGGAGACATGTTAGTTTTTTCATTTCTCCTTGCTGGCTTGATTTTTAAATTAAAAAAAAAAAAAATTGCTTTTGTTTTGGCAGCCCAGGGCTGTCTGCTCACAGCAGAGAGGGCCAGAAGTGCTACTGTTGGGTTCCATCAGCTGAGAAGGTATCTGACGGATGCCTCAGACTTTGATGTTTTGAGAAAATGGCTACTGGATATGTACATCACTTCTCAAATTCTGTTGCTAGAAATCGGATACTCATTTCAGACCACAGACTCATTCCAGACTGTACTTTTCAAATCTACATTCAAATCACCTAATATGGGGCCAATAGGTCACACCACACTAATTACGGGACAGGCCGATGACTAATAGGATGAATTATTATGAAGTGGCATTTGAGTGAAAAGAACTGTTTTGGGGAATGAGAACATGCCTCATGTTAGTTGAATGCATAACTGAGCTAGAAATAAAACGTTCCTCCTTTTATAGGAGAGGTTGCTTTTTCTCCAATCCCGTGTCACTTAGCCTATGCCAGGGTGAGGGTGTCTGCATTCTCCTAATTTCATATTGCTATGTCCTCTGGTCCTTCTGTAAGATCTCTCTATCTGGCTGTCCCAACCAAACCCTCCTTTTCAGCTAAATTCTTAGGTTGACCTTGCGTGCTCCCAGTCCTGCAGTCATCTTGGTTCATTTTCTTAAACCCCTTGGTTCTAAGGGTCTTTCCAACCTTTGTTACCTCAAGTCATTTCCAGGATCATCTTAGACCTGGTTAACACAAGCAGACATTTCCAGTGCTGAGTTCTTAGTGTCATGACAGTGACTTCTTATCCTTTCTGCCTTTCACCCTCATACCTGTTCTTGAACCTGCCCAATAACCTTGACACATCTAAGTTTGACCAGTCTACCGTCATAGTCCCCTGGGGTACTCGTTACGAATAGATCTGACTAAATGGTACCTACACAGGTACTCATGGTAACCTTGAGTCCTGTGAATCTGTGCTTGCAAGAGGGATCAATAAGTGATTGATTAAATGATTATATTGATAATCAGATCTTGCCTGTTCTCTAAGTTGTATCCTCAGACTCTTCAGATTCCATGAGTACTGTTGTGGTTGAATAATTTTAATTTACATACCTGTTTTTAAATCACTGAATTAATTGACATTTTTTCATTGTATGCAGCCATCTGATGCCTTAATTTTGGGGAAGATAAAAAATGTTGATTGCGTCCTTCTTGCAAGGTATGGTATTGTAAGCTTTTTGGATGTTACTACTAAAGGATAATTTAAACTTAAATTCTGGAAAGAGTAAAGATACAGGTATGAGTTTTTATATGTTGACAGAATCAGAACATCTTAGTAACCTTTATTTACAATGTTTCATTTTTGGTTAAGTTATATTGACTTAGGAGATCAAAGATCTCATGCCCTTGCCCCTTAGATTGGGAAAGTAGATCAGATGACTAAAATCAAAGCTCTGGTTTTAGTTCTAAATGCAAGAAGAAATGTTTTGTTCATTTTTTCCCCTTTCTTATAAAGATAAAGAAAAACAATCCATCATTAATGACCTCTTGCTAGTAGTAGTTATATATCTGTGGAGAGTGGGCTTAGGGCTTCTGAAGTGGGTTACTTGTGTCTGTGCTATTGTTTCCTTAAGGAGGCTGGTGCTGCTCCGTATTGCAGAGGAGGCCAAGTCATTTTTATACCATTGTTAGAAATTAGTCAAGATATATGTATGAGTTCTCTACTGTTGTGTAACAAATTATCACAAATTTAGCAGCTTAAAAGAGCACACATGATCTCCTGGTTCCTGTTGGTCAGAAGTCTGGCACAGCTTAGCAGGTCCTCTGCTTGTGGTTGCACAAGGCCCCACAAGGCATATTCAAGGGCTGAGTTCCCATCTGGAGCTTGAGGTCCTTGTTCAAGCTCATGTGGTTGTAGGAGAATTCACTTCCTAGAAGTTACAGGGCAGAGGCCTTTGGCTCCTAGAGGTGGTTCACATTCCGTCGTGTGGCCTGCTCCACAGGCTGTTCATTTGGCAGCAGCTTGCTGCTTGCTATTAGGGTATGGCAAAGGTGCTAGAAGTCACCTCCATGGCTAGGCTGTACCTTGCAAGCATGCAGGAGGCCAGTAGGAGAATCTCACGTGCATGCTTGCAAGGTAGAGCCTAATCATGGGAGTGACTTATAGCCCATTTGCCATTTTCTAATGGCCAGATGCAAGTCCCAGGTTCACTGACACTTTATACAGAGCATGACAGTGGGAACCACACTACGCTCTGTCTGCCAGTCTACATTTTTGAAACAGAAGTGGCTTCTCAGAATCCAGGGAACCTAAATTTTAGTTTTAGTTGGTCACTGGAGTGGGTTCTAGGAGACCCCCTGTGTTAGTCTGTGGTCATTGCTAGAGAATCACTTAATTTTTTCTGGACTCTAGGAGAAAACAGTTGGTGGTGTGTTCATCACAGGTTGACGATTTCTTCTGTCCTTCCTTAGGCATGGAAGGCAGCACACCATCATGCCTTCAAAGGTCAACTACCAGGCGAACATCTGGGCTTTGAAGGAAGAGGGCTGTACACATGTCATAGTGACCACAGCCTGTGGCTCCTTGAGGGAGGAGATTCAGCCCGGTGATATTGTCATTATTGATCAATTCATTGACAGGTAAGCAGTCATACAAAATGCTTTAGGCTATTGTAGCTTGTAGCTGGTCATTTCCAGCTCAAATGGACGATGTTTGGGAACCAGCAGGGAAACCGGGAGGGTAGGGCCACAGACTTTCTTGCCATTTTTTTTTTCTTTTTTTTTTTGGGCGGGGGGACAGAGCCTCACTCATCACCCAGGCTGGAGTGCAATGGCATGAACTCGGCTCACTGCAACCTCCGCCTTCCAGGTTCAAGCAATTCTTCTGTCTTAGCCTCCCGAGTAGCTGGGACTACAGGCGCCTGCCATAATGCCCAGCTAATTTTTGTGTTTTTAGTAGAGATGGAGTTTCACCATATTGGTCAGGCTGGTCTTGAACTCCTGACCTCAGGAAATCACTTACCTCGACCTCCCAAAGTGCAAAGTGCTAGGATTACAGGCGTGAGCCACCGCACCCAGCCTGCTTTAAGCTTTTCATTGTGAGTTTTTGTTTTTGAATTTTAATTGACAAATGATAAATGTATATATGAGGTATAACATTATGTTTTGATACATGTATACATTGTACAATGATTAGCAAAGCTAATTAACGTATTACCCCACATATCATCTTTGGTGCTGAGAACATTTGATTTTTACTTTAACAATTTTGAAATACATAATACGTTGTCATTAGTTATAATCACCCTGCAGTATAATCTCAAAAACTTATTCCTCCTGTCTAACTGAAATTTTGTGCTTTGATCAACATCTCCCAAAACCCCAGCCCCTGGTAACCTTTCTACTCTTTACTTTCATTAGTTTGACTTAGTTAGATTCCACATATACGTGAGATCATGCAGTATTTGTCTTTCTGTGAATGGTTTATTTCACTTAACATAATGTCCTGCAGGTTCACCCATGTTGTGGCAATTGACAGAATTGCCTTCTCTTTTAAGGCTAAATGGTATTTCGTTGTGTATATCGACCACCTCTTCTTTATCTGTCCATCTGTTGTTGGACATTTATGATGCTTCCATGTCTTGGCTATTGTGAATAATGCTGCAGGGACCATAGAAGGGCTGATGTCTTTCTTGACATAAAATTTCATTTCCTTATACACCCTGAGATGGGATTGTTGGATCATGTGGTAGTTGATGTTTTTAGTTTTTTGGGGAATTTTAGTAACGGCTGTATTTATATTCCTACCAGCAGTATACAAAGGTTCTGTTTTTGTCACATCCTCATCAACACTTACTATGTTTTGTCTTTTCGATAAAGGTCATTTGTGGCCTGGCACAGTGGTTCCCGCCTGTAATCCTAGCACTTCGAGAGGTTGAAGCAAGAGGATTGCTTGAGCCCAGGAGTTTGAAACCAGCTTGGGCAACATAATGGGACCTTGTCTCTATAAAAAATAAAACAAAAATTAGCCAGGTGTGTTGGTATACACCTGTTGTCCCAGCTACTTAGGAGACTGAGGTGGGCGGATCGCTTGAGCCTGGGAGGTCAAGGCTAGAATGATTCATGAATGCACCACTGCACTCCAGCCTGGATGACAGCAAAAAAAAAAAAGCCATTCAAACAGGTGTGAGGTGATACCTTATTGTGGTTTTTATTTGCATTTTCCTAATGACTAGTGATGTTGAGCATTTTTCATACAGCTGTTGTCCATTTATGTGTCTTCTTTTGAGGAATGTCTATTCAAGTCCTTTGCCTACTTTTTTAATCAGGTTGTGTTTTTGGAACTTTCTTTCAGTTAGTTTCCTTACGTGGTGCCAAAAAGGTTGGGGGCCGCTGTACTAGGGCCACCCCCTCCCCTATTCCTAGTAGAAATAATTGCCTCTCAAAATGCTCTGGATGAAGACAGGAGCCCCCTGGGCTGGGTGGAGAGTGGGGAGTAGCACAGAGTTAAATCATTTGGGGATCCTTCCACAGTCCCCCATCCAATCACCCTGCCTACCACCTCAGTCCATGCTGCTCCTCCCGTCAGTTATCTCTGAGCTTACGGCACTCACAGCCCTCTCCTAGAGCTTCTGCTGTGGGAGAGAGGGTTGTCCAGTCCAGGCCACTGTGTCTTCTGCCTTTCAGGGATTCATTATAATTTCTGGTCCATCAGAAGCATTCTTGGTTGTTTCCTGACGGAATGAAACTGTTTTGAAATTGCCCATCCCATTGGTCAGAAATGGTTGAATATCAGCAGTTTCATGTGGTTCAACCTAATAAATAATTGGTTTAGACTAAAGTGGTTACATGTCTCTCACCCTGAGTTATGTCCTTATCATGTATTTATACCTGACACTATATATTTATGACCTGTTTCCCTCTAGAATATGTCATATGAGATAAGAGACCCTGTCTGCCCTGTTTGCACCATATCACCAATGCCCACAGTTCCTGGCCCATCTTTGCTCTGTCAGTATTTTTTGAGGGCTTGAACATAGTCATTTGAATAGAGGGATAGGCTGGAGTTTGTATTTTGGAAACATCTTGATCATAATCTCAATGGCTGTCAACGTCCATGTGTTTGGAGGTAATAGTTTAAGAAAATGATTATAATATGATTGCTAAATAGAGCAGAATACAAAACTCCATATTCAGGATGATCCAGATTTATGAAGTATTACAGATGATACTGTAAAGTCCGAATTGGGCACTGAGCCTTGGGTTAATTTGTTAGTTAAATGATATAACTATATGCTGTTGCATTTCCCAGATCTTTTAGTCACATACTGGCTCTTTCAAGAAAGCAGTTGGGTCAGAAGATGGAGACTAGAAAGAGAACAGGTATTGCCATCAGATCTGGTTTCATTCTATCTTAGCGCATCTTGGCCAGGTAACCTTAAGATCTTCTAGTATTTTTCTGTTTATGAGACATATGGATAACCTGCCTTCTTAATGTTTCCTTGGAAGTTCAAAGTCTCTAACAAGTGCCTTTTGTGGGATCTTGCATGTGTTAACCTTCTGAATAACTGAGTGCCATTATTGAGAGTGTGGGCGGACTGGCTGGAGGGTCCACTAGTTGATACTACTTTACAACAGCAGGAGAAAAGAATCTGTTAAAAGAAGGATCCCTGGTAGGGCGCGGTGGCTCACGCCTGTAATCCCAACATTTTGGGGAGGCTGACGCAGGCAGATCACCTGAGGTCAGGAGTTCATCAACATGGTGAAACCCCGTCTTTACTAAAAATACAAAAAAAAATTAGCCAGGTGTGGTGGTGAGCACCTATAATCCCAGCTACTCGGGAGCCTGAGGCAGGAGAACCGCTTGAACCTGGGAGGCAGAGGTTACAGTGAGCCGAGATTACTCCATTGCACTCCAGCCTAGGCAACAAGAGTGAAACTCCGTCTCAAAAAAAAAGAAGGATCCCTAAGAGAATATAATTTAGCATGAAATCTCAATTTTTACATTGATTACTTATTTGCAGTGATAACGTTTTGAATATATTAGGTTAGACAAGATTTTAAAGTTAATTTTACCTGTTTCTCTTTTACTTTTTCAGTGACCACTAGACATTTTTAAATTACCTAGGTGGCTAACATCATATTGCTGTTGGATGCATCTTTTAAGTGCTACTGCCTTTGATTGAGCTGAGTGGGTTCCAGTTAACCAGGCTTGAGCACGTATATAATTCATTATGTGTTTGAACATCTTATAGCAGAAGAGAATCAGAACTTTTTGCCTTGTGGGTAATGCCCTCTATGTGTTTTACTGATAGCACATTTCTTAGTAAAGTGAATCTTGGTGTGTTGAGACAGGCATCTCCTACCTCCACTTGCTGATGGCATCAGATACAAATAGCTACAGGCTGTGCCATTTTTAGCCTGGGGTTTTCCAGAGTCATACCCACAGCCTCAACTTGTTTAACAGAATTGTAACATCCTGTAAAGCCACCCGGTGGATTATAGATTCCAGGGCAGCTGGGGCAGGAGCATTGAATCAGGAGGTTTCATCTTGACTCTGTTTGGCCCTGGGCAAATCACTTTACCCACTGCATGTTGGTTCTTTCTTACAAATGGAGGGCTGAATTGTACCATCTCTCTCTCTCTCTCTCTCTCTCACACACATTCACTCTTTTGTGTGTGTATGTGTGTTTTGTTTTTTTTGTTTTTTGTTTTTTTTTTGAGACAGTCCCACTCTGTCACCCAGGCTAGACTGCAGTGATGCAATCTCAGCTCACTGCAACCTCGCCTCCTGGGTTCAAGCAATTCTCATGCCTCAACCTCCTGAGTAGCTGGGATTACAGGTATACACTACCATACCTGGCTAATTTTTGTACTTTTAGTAGGGATGGGGTCTCACCATGTTGGCTAAGCTGGTCTTGTACTTCTTGCCTCAAGTGATCCACTCATCTTGGCCTCCCAAAGTGCTGGGGTTACAATTGTGAGCCACTGTGCCTGGCCCAGGCTCCTTTTCCCTACACTGCCCTTGTATTCTCTCCAGGGACTTATCTAGAACCACACACATTGACCTATTGCCATAACTTTGTCAGCACGTTGTCTCAGAAAAAAAAAAAAAAAAAATCCTCATCCTAAAGTGTGCTTCAAAGGCTATCGAGATTGTTTAATAATATGGCTATTCTTATTTTATAGATGGCCAAGCTAAAGCACATCACTTTCTTTTCCTTCAGTGCCAGCATGAGCAGGGCAGGGGGACCAACCTCAGACTTAAGAAAGACATGTGGCTGATTTTTAGGGTTGTTTTTAGAAACATTAGATTTCTGCTCTGGTAATGAAATATACTCTTGAAGGACTCTGACAATGCTGGAAGCTCTTTTAAGAAAAACGTCATTCTTTTCTGAAAATATTTTTTCTTCTCTTTCTCATGCTACATTACAGCTGATGAAGTTAAAAAGCCTGGGCATGAGAAAAGGGGAACTCTGGGTATGACTGTCCTGGAAAGAGAGATAGAGAGTGCAGTAGGCTCAAGTATGTTTGCGTATGTGCAGTCAGTCTTTGTGTCTTTCTCATTTGAGGAAATTCCATAGCAATTAAAGTGAAAATAATAATCTTTCATTTGTGGAAGAGCATCCATAGAAAGCAAC